GGGGGAGTAGAGGAGTAGATGATAATACACTGCTGAATAGGAAGGTTTGAATGATAGACAGAATGTGCCATGATATATTTCCATTGTTTACATTGTAACTCCAGGTAAAGATTCCTGTTCAAGAATCAGCCTCATGGTTTCTCTAAATTCGCTTCCTGATTATTGACTCTCTGTAGCCTTAGGACATCTGGAATTCGGAAATTCTCCCCGCTACCTTCTTCTGTTACAGATCACAATGATGGCTCCTGTGGAGTCGAAGTTTTCCCAGTCAACTGGAGATATAGATAAAGTGACAGATACGAAACCAAGAGTGGCTGAGTGGCGTTATGGGCCTGCCCGACTGTGGTATGATATGCTGGGTGTCCCTGAAGATGGAAGTGGATTTGACTATGGCTTCAAACTGAGAAAGACAGAACATGAACCTGTGATAAAATGTAGAATGATGGAGGTGAGCAACACTGGTATGTAAGAAAGGAATCAGTGTGTCCAGGGCCCTATCAGTTTTAGTAACTTTGTCTTTTAATTGGGTAGATACTGTGTAGGGCTTCCTTGGTAGGAGATTTAGGTGTCTAAACTAAGCGTTTTGTTTGGTGTAGTATATCACCCTGGTAACAAGGCCCCATTCTGAGGATTCTGTTTGTGAAACGAGTGCTGTGCCAAACTAGGAGTGGGAAGAGGTAGGTATTCCTCCATTATCAGGTGGTTCTCTCAAGTAAAGGACTGTTTATGAGGTGTGTGATGTATCTTTGTTGTGGGATTTGGAGGGGGAACATTGACCAGTGACCAATCAGGGATTTGTTATTCTTTCCCTGCTTCTACAGGAATTCAGGAAACTTGAAGAAAGCAATGGCACTGATCTTCTGGCTGATGAAAACTTCCTGATGGTGACACAGCTGCATTGGGAGGATGATATCATCTGGGATGGGGAGGATGTCAAACACAAAGGGACAAAACCTCAGCGTGCAAGCCTGGCAGGCTGGCTTCCTTCCAGCATGACTAGGAATGCCATGGCTTACAATGTTCAGCAAGGTGTGCTTCCATGCCGGCTGTGTCTAGCACACTACCTTTCATCTCAATTATCATAGTTGGCTTAGCTGTGATCTTTTGGGCTGCTGAGGGATAGTGAAATGTTTTAGATCTAAGCCCTAATTCTAGTCCATATAATTTTTTATCCTCTTAATCAGCTAGGATGGACTCTCTCTCTCTCTCTCTTTTCTTTTTTTTTTTTTTTTTTTAAGAAACTGGTTCTTGCTCTGTC